AACAGATATCAATAGTTATTAAAATTATTGTGATCTATGTATTAATTATGTTTTTATTTATATTTGGTTTTATACTATTCATTACATCAAACATAAATTATCAGTCAAACAAATCGTATAAAATATATTTGAGTAAAATACCTAGATTAAAATAAAATGGTTTCAAGGGTTCAATAAATTTAGCATTTACCTAGCAGAAATTTATTATGTATGTCGTATAATATTATTAAATCATTTTGTATTATAATAGAGGCTGTAAATGAGTTTTAAAACTAAGTTTTTTTTATTAAACCTTTGTCCATACCTTTTTTATTTGACTAAGCTAATTAAATCGTATTTGTTTTGTGTGAAGACTTGTGTTTTATTCACAACAAACCCACTGACCAGCAGTCCCGCAGTGGGCAGTCAATACCAGTCAGTGTATAGTCGTCTCGGCCGTCGGCAACGTTGCGAGAAGTGGACAGTCGGTCAGTCTGTCCACCAATTGGTTTGCGCGGGTCTGTAGGCGCTGGTCCGCCGGACACGGAAGCGGCGCCTTTGGGCTCAAACACAGTTGGCGTTAGAGAGCGACACCTGTTGGTCATCACTCGCTCTCATAAGTGTAGTCATTGTTGGCTCGACTCTACCGCTACACCGGAGTCCCCGACAGTCTATTGGCCAACAGTCTGACCGTAATCGCCGACTTCACGACATGTATAACTATATTGAATGGTGTTTATAGTTATTATTAACAAATTCATTGTGAACGTTATACAAAATAAATTAATTTAACAATTTATAATTTATTTTATTGTTTCATTAAATTTAATGTTATGTAAACTTCTTTAAGTGTATTCCCAGTAATTAATATCTGTAAACAAACTATGTTTGTAAATAAATATCTACATTGTGCACCATGTTTGTTAATAATAAAGTATAATTTATTATTGCATGAATAGTTTTATTTTAAAAATTAAAATTAGTTTTCATATAAACCATAAGCACACATGATACAATAAAATACGAGTAGTGTATAGTAAATTTTCATATAAAAACCTTTATTATTTGTGAGTAAATTATACATACAAATAAAATTTTATTTAACTTTTATCCAAAATAATACCATGCTAAATACTCGGTTAAATACCAATAAAATAAAATACTCGGCTCAAATAGGGTCTTATAGAAATAAACAGGTATTTATAAATTTATTTATAACATTATTATTAAATTATTATTATTTTATAATATTATATATTTGTAAATATTTTTCATATTTTTCATTTGATCGTAAATTAGAACTTTGATCGTCGTATAAACTAGTTGGCAACACTAGTTGGCAACACTAGTTGGCAACACTAGTTGGCAACACTAGTTGGCAACACTAGTTGGCAACACTAGTTGGCAACACTAGTTGGCAACACTAGTTGGCAACACTTATCAATCGATGAATAAAAATGAATGACTATTCATAAATAATTTTACATTGAAAGCAGAGTTTACTCATTCAAACTAATAAGAGTTTTTAAACTTAGCTTACAAATTATTTATGAATAGTCATTCATTTTTATTCATCGATTTATCTTTTTGTATATTATAAATACATATACTGCTTTTTATAACTTTTTTTGTTAGTATTTAAATTATAAAAAATATGAATTTACTGTATTTTAGGTTAATGTTATTTTTATATTTAATATGGAATTAAATTATTTTATTTTTTCATATGTTCTTAAGTTTTATATTCAAACTTATTTTATTAATATAAATTTTTAAAATAAAACTTTATTTGTGAAAACCTTTTAAGTTTATTATAATATACAAACAAATAAAGTATTATTATGAATTAAACTGTAATATCTATATAATATAAATAGTGCTCTATCAATAAATTGCTAAATTTCTTTAAATAGCTTTATTTGTTTGTTAACATGCCATTAAAATATTAAAAATAAATTTTGTTATTTTTATTAGAAATAAATAACAATAATATGTATGCAACAAATATATAATATTTTAAAATTTTAAATTTTAAATAAATAATATTACTGTAATTAAAATAAATAAGTCTTAATATAACATTAAATTTATAAAAGTCGAATGTTTTTAAATTATTTTTAAATTTTCTAAAAATTGTGATGTACCTATGTAGTTTTAAAAGAATTGATTAGATTAGGTATACAGCTTGCAGTGTAAAATAAATCAAATATTCTAAATTAATTTGTAAAGTATTAAAATTTATTTTTAAAAATTAAATTAAACACAAATTTATTAAAAATTAAAGTAGATTATAATTTTTATGTTAATCTAAGAATATGATTCATAAATATTTTATACGATTTCTTTAACTCGTGATTAATATTAACAGTATAAACCCAAATACAAATACATACATAAATAGACCATAAATAAATATTAAACGAACAATTGGATCTAGTTGGTTGAAATATAACAATATGCAATAATAACACCATGGTAGGTCCAATTAACAGCCAATTGTCATAATCAGTGATCTATATATATATATATATTGCTTTCAATGACCGCATTGTTTGCATAGTACAGCTATGGACAGGCATAACTGGCACAGGTTTTTGCTCGATTACTTCAAAACCGCTAATTCTATCTAGGTAACTTCAGGATCTTATTCTCCTTAAATTTCAGGAACTTTCGGAGTTTATTATTGTTTTCATTTGATTTGACACAAAATCATAATAAATGATTAAAAAGATAGCGTTTGTACTCCAAATGACATTGACTTATAAATGATGCATTCAATAATTTAATGGTAAACATGATCATTATATTATTTATTAATGTGTAATACAAATTCAAATCTTAATGTAAACTCTTAATGATATTACTATGGAAATATACAAAATACTAATTTCTATTTTAACCTAGGAATTTTATTAATTAATATTTTATAAGATTTATTTGACTCGTAATTTATATTTGAAGTCATGAATAGTATGAATCCAAATATAAATAAGTATATAAATAATCCATAAATAACAATTATAAGAACAATAATATTAACCTCTTGAAATATGACCACGTACATTAAGAGAATAATTGTAGGACCACTAATAAACCAAAAAATTGCAATAATTCTGGACCAATAGGTGGTGTTATAATCATTGATCTCTAAATATATTGCATTCAATGCACGCATTGTTTGCATAATATATCTCTCATTGAAATTGTGGTCACATTTCATATGATGTTCAATATTTTGTTCATTTATTGCACGGATTTTGTGTTTTAAATAATAGCACAATAAGTAAAAATAAACCAAAACCCATACGAAATGTGTCGATACATAATAACCAATCAAGGTGGTGTGAATAGCGTTTGGTATACCATATAATAAAATTTCATATAACGTACAAAATCTTATGTATGGAAATATTCCATATATTACCCAAAATAAAACTGACCTATCTAAAACAAATTTGAATATTTTAAATAAAACTTGGGATCGTTTAACTAATTTATAAATTAATTGCTGATCGTGTATACCAATATTCATGGGCGCTATTGACCCTGATAACATTTCAAATATTACCATAAATGATGGGTTAAAATTTGTAAAATAGTTACGGATAAATATAAAATGGATAGATATACATGACATAATTGTGGTTATTTGTGTTAAATTCAAATGTGGTTTAATGTCCAACATATAGGGAATATCACACAATATTATGTGAATAAATCTGCTTTCGTTGTGTAATGTCAACAAAATTACAAGTTTTATAATATAAACCCAATAAAGACATTGAATTACATACGGATTGTGAATGAGTTTAATATTAACCACAGATTTATGTGTTATTAATAAACCGATTGAATGTAATTGTGTGGCGGCGGTAGGTGTTTGTAATTCAGCCGGTAATTTATGTCTACAATTTAACATATTTATTAAATCACATTTGCTTTATACTAAATTTTATAATATGAATATATTTTCTTAAATTTTTAAATAATATTGAAAAACAAAATAACAATACCGTATATTTATATCTTATTTTATTTAAATTATAAAAATTATGTATTTATTGTAGTTTAGGTTAATATTATTTTTGTTTATTATGCACATTAAGATTAATATGGAATTAAATTATTTTATTGTTTCATATGTGCTTAAGTTTTATATTCAAACTTATTTTTATAATATCATTTTTTTAAATAAAACTATTTTAAAATATTTTTTAGGCAATAATATACTATTTTATTTGAATTACATTATATTATACATTATATTAATATTATTTATTTAAGAATAATATTATAAAATGTTATTTAAAAATTATAATGATATTGAAATTGTAATATTCAAAATATATTGTACTAATTTTTGTTTAAACTTAATTTTAGAAAATTTATTTATCAATATTTTATAAGATTAATTTGACTCGAAATTCAGATTAAATGGCACTCAAAACTCATTAAACCTTTAGAGTAGACCTAAATCAGCGTTTCCCGCGGGACTACCAGTCCTCCTTGTGGTAATCCACTGACAGATCTCCCGGTCCTAAGACTACAATCATTAAGAGGCCGCCGATGACGGACAGGATCTGGAAAAAGTTTTTTACCAAACGATCAAACTTTGGTTTGCTTGAGTGTATGCCTCCAAAAAGGATTGTAATCAAAATCGATGGCTATTTGGGTGGAAAGGGTGGTCCCAAAAAAATAGTAATCATTAGTCGAGCACACAAATGGTTCAAATGAGGGGTTTGTATGGAGACTAACCCGTGAGCAACACGACCAGCAAAAGGGCCGACAGTTTGGTCTTATAGCCGATAGTGATGGCCGCCACGAGTACCACGATTATCATGTCTAGTATGATAATATACACGTTATTGACGTCATAATAAATAATTGTGACGAATATGAGAACCGTTAGTATTCTTCCGGTTAACAACAGATAAGCTTTGGGTCGGTTCTGTCTATCACTGGGCACACCGGCCAACAGAGTGTGCGCCTCCGTCTGGCACTCCGCCAACAGCAGCAATAGAGCCCCGCATTGGTTCATAGCGTTCAGCCAGAAGTATGAACGCCATAGGACTTCGTATGTCAATACCTGCCATCAAACACGCCATACGTTAGTTAATGTCATCTTTAAAGTACAACTTTTCCGAAAATCTCATTTACACTCCCTTTCCGTCCCTTCCCGTCTCCACTAACTGGTAATACCCGTGGTTTCCCTATAATTTCCCGGTAGTAATGCTTTTACACAAGAGTTACACTTATTTGTGGTATTTTGTGACTGTTCTTAACGAAACACTACTGTATTAGCAATAAATGTTTAAAATGCATATAAATTGTAAATGTATGAATTAAGAAATTAATATAATGTAATATGAACTAGGTTATAATTTTATACAATTATTACAAAGAAATTTAAAGGAAATTAATTAACAGACAAAATAAGTGGGTCTCAAAACGGGGACTGTCTGTCCGGGTGGTTATAGCTGAAGCCAAACAGTGCCGAAGAGTAGGCCGCACCCAATGATCACGTGATAGCGGATCAACACGAGCCCGGATGCGGTCAATTGGGACAACATATTGATTGAGACACAAAGTATGGCCAACCCGTAGCCGCAGTTCCAGCGGCTGTCCAAAAGGTCCCTCTCCTGTGACCACCGGAACAACATATGGAGGCCGTCCTCATACGGAGACCAGACACCAGCGCGCGATTGTCGGTAGGACTACCTTTGACCGACAAAACACCTGATCCATTGGTGGACACAATCAACGCACGTATTAGTGGTACGCGTGTCAATCAAAAGTTTGTATCTCAAAAGTACGTAAACAAGGTGTAACCCTCACAAAGCCTAAAACTCAAATAACTAACTGACCATGGACATATTTGTAATTTTATTAGTGAGGTAGACGTGTCTTAAAAATAACTTCACCTCACCGGCCACGTCCTCAGCCTTTGATATCCACTGCCGTCTGTTGGACATGACTTTCGGTGATAATGGCGTCAATGAATGGGTGCACCGATGGATGAATTAGCCGTCGATTTGGTGTCAAATAAATAACAAATAATCAACGCACGCATTGTTCGCATAATATATCTCTCATTGAATTTTTGGTCACTTTTCATATGATTTTCAATATTTTGTTCATTTATTGAACGGATTTTGTGTTTTAAATAATAGCACAATAAGTAAAAATAAACCAAAACCCATACCAAATGTGTCGATACATAATAAGCAATGAAGGTGTTGTGAATAGCGTTTGGTATACCATATAATAGAATCTCATATAACGTACAAAATCTTATGTATGGAAATATTGCATATATTACCCAGAATACAACTGACCTATCTAAAACAAACTTGAATATTTTAAATAAAGCTTGGGATCGTTTAACTAATTTATAAATTAATTGCTGATCGTGTATACCAATATTTATGGGCGCTATTGACCCTGATAACATTTCAAATATTACCATAAATGATGGGTTAACATTTGCA